AAATTTTCTACAGTTAATATGCAGTGAGCCAGTGGCACTTTCTAATGCACAGCTTAGATTTAAATATGCTTTCAATTCCAACAACTTTCTTAAAAGCCGGTATATCTTAAATCCTTAATGGGCAAATAGAGACTGTTCAGCCAGGACTGCCCTAGCTTTTATCTTAATGTCGCTGAGCTATCGCCCTGCTCCAATCACATCTCATCTCCTGTATCCAGAGATTAGTTTGCACCAAACTGGAGCTGGAAACATACACGACTCCAGGGGGCACTGTTCACAGGCGCTACAATGTGAAAGTCGCCGCGGGAGCTGTGCCACACCGAGGTGCTTCTTTTAGAGAGATCCCCAGGCTGCCGTGCCACTGTGACTTTCTCGTTTGAGCCAGGGACTCGTAAGTTTAATTGCTAGGACTTATAAAGAGCAGTGAAAAATGGATAAGGAGATAAGATTCATTCAAAGATCAGTGATGAATGATTGTCATTTACGTTATGACCTGTAGGCTCTGATGAGAAGCTTAATTTACTAATCTTTTAAAGCCCATAGGATTCTTTGGGTCTTCTCCCTCCCCCCAGCCCTTCTTTGTCTCTTCTCGATTTTGCATATTCTCTTCCCCCAAAGCCTTGAGCGTCTCTCTCCTTTGGTACCTTTCATCCTATTTGTGTTTTTCCCATTATTTGTATCTTCTCCCTTTTCCTTTGGTCTCTTTCATCTTTCTTCCTGCTTATAACTTTTATTTTTCCATTCTGCTATTTTAAGCATTTCCAATAGGGCTCCTTTTCTCTCTGTCTTTTCTTTCTGTGTCCCAGCAGGCACCATTCATCGTCATTGGCATTTTTACCATCTATTTACCCTTTCCCTTGCTGTTTGTTTAATCTCCTTTTGTCAATATCCAATTTCTTCTATTCTTTCTAGTTTCTTTCTTCCTATCTCTTCTTTTAACTGACCATGATGAGAAACTAAAGTACACTCATTCAATGTCCTCTCTTTGTAGTCCCAGATTGATTTTTTTTCCTTTGTAGTCCATGTCTGTGGCCCTTAAGAATATAGAGAAGACATTTGGGAATTCTAACGTAAATCTCAATGCCCATGAAATTTAAAGCTGGCACTTTCATTGCACCTTGATCATATTGCAACTTTATAAATATTACAATATATGCTGAAAAATATTTTTGAAATGTTTATTTCTCTACCTGAGACTACTAAAGTGCAGTCTTGTGATACTTAACCTCAAATTTCAAAATCTTCTTCAATGATTTTAGTATTTTTTATTGTTGACATTACAGATAACCCCCCTCTTTTTACTCCCCCCTCCAGTCAGGCCAAATCTATGCAAAAATTGTTCTTAAGAATGTCTCTATTCTTCTGTTAACTGCACAAAAGAAAAACCTGCTTACTAGTCTTGTTCCACCAATAATTACACTTGCAATAAAGTCTGCCTTTGGACAGCAACAGTCCCATGATTTTGGAACTCATATAATGATTTAAACAAATGCTGAGAAAAAAAATCCCAAATGATTTAGCATCTTCTTCAAGAAATTAGAAAATCAACCACAAAATAGATAAGGATAGAAGTAGTAACAGGTTCATAGACATAAGAACAAAAATACATGAGTTAGAATCTAAAATCTGGTTTATTGAAAAAATAATATAAAGTAGATAAAACACTAAGTAAACTAATGAAGGAAAATAAAAGGGACAAAATACAAATATACAAAATAAAAGGGGAATAATCACAAAAACAGAATGCAAGGAATCTTAAGACACTAGTTTGTTCAATTATGGCCACGTAAATTCTGAAAAGTGAGATGAAATTAATAATATTCAAATGAAAATGTGATGTGCTAAAATTGACTTAAGAAGAAAGAAAAAGTTCTAAAGAGATTAGTATTCAGGATTGATATTCCAGATACTTTTACAGCAGAGTCCTCAAACAATAAGTGAATCTAAGTTGTTTTTGTACATTATGGCTGAGTATCAGCCTTGCCAATATCCACATAAAATAGAAAAAAATTTGACAAAGAGCTACCCTTAGAAAAAAACATAAGATACTGATGGTTTAAGAGGAAATTCTATTTCACTTAGCATAATATTCTCAAGGTCAGAAAAGGAGAAAAACCATATGATTTTACTCATAAATGAGATATAAAACTGAAGCTCATAGGCACAGACAACAGTATGGTGGTTATCAGTGGAAAGGGGTGGGAGGTAGTAAAGGGTAAAGGGGTCAGATATCTAGGGGCGGGAGATGACTTGACTTTGGGTGATAAACACGCAATGCAATACGCACTCAAAAACTATATGATCCTATTAATCAATGTCACCCCAATAAATTTAACAAAATATTTTTTTAAAAAAAGGGAATTCTACCAAAGTTTGAAAGAGTAGATTATTCCAGTTACTGAAATTATTTCAGAATATAACAAACAGAAATTTAGTTTATAATAAAGAGCATTAAAATAGAAAAAGAGTTGAAGGATGATAGATGACTCAATAAATATTTTGGGAAAAATTGAGTAATCCTGTGGAGCAACACCTCACCACACACACACACACACACACACACACACACAGACTTCCATTGGACCAATGGTTAAAATGTTCAAAAGGAATCCTTAAAAGTATCAGACACAATGCAACAAAATTTTAATGTTTTTAAAAAATTTGAAAAGTTTTTAAAAACTAGTTCAAAATATCCATAGACCACGGTGAAATTAATAAATTTTATCACATAAAAATGACTGTATGGCAAAAAAACACTATAAACAAAGTTTAAAGATAAATAAAAATGGTAGGAAAAATAAACATTCGTAGTTCTTACTATAGACAAAGGGACACATGATTAACAGGTAAAGAGTTCTTTCTTGTGAAGCAGAGAGAAAAGACAAAATCCCAACTGAATAATGGGCAAAAGAAATCGGAGTTATTCCCATATGAGAAAAAACAGAAAACTTTTAATACATGAAAGGTGTTCAAAGCATTCATCTTTAAAAAAATAAAAACGAAAGCTACTTTTAGAAATTATACTTTACTTTTCAGGATATCAAATTGTGACAGGATAGTAAGAAACTAGGAAAATCCTGGGCCAGTGGAATGGGGAAACTGAGACAAGAAAATTAAACAAGACCAAACAGTTTGAGCAATTTATGGCCAGCTGATGAATCACAAGACCTAATCTCCCCTGACCAAGGACACTCCAGAGCAAATGGTTTATATCAATACCTGTCCTCCCTAACCAGAGAATACATAGTTTAAATCACCCTGGTCTGGGAAATAGAGAACAGAGACCCAATTAATGTCATTTGTGCCAGCTAAACCCAAGGACAGATGAAGTCAGGGGAACAAATAACAAAAACACCATTAAAAGCCAGACAGACCCAAGATAAAAGTAAAACAATATAGCAGACCAAAGAACATTCCCAAAGCCCCCATGTGCTCATTTTGACACAACAGCATATTAAAAATGTAATTGGCAAGCTTATGAATATCCTGCTGAAACCCTCCCCTCAGATTCTCACCCACAGGGAAAAAAAAAAGATTAAAAAGCCCTCAGGACAAACTCAGGGTGGGCTTGCTCTAGAGCTCACCCTTGCCGCTTCCTGGATGTGAATCTTTCATTTCCTACTAAATTCTAGGGGTCACCATGAGAATTGCAGCCAGGGGAGCAGTGGGCAGCAGCCATCGGACAGGGGCTGATCCCTGATCTTGCTCCAAGGCCCCGTTTTTCTCTGACTCCCAATGAGCTAAAGGCAGCCCTGCCTTGGCTCACTTCTGTCTCCGTGACCTTCACTTCCCAGTGAGCTAAGAGGAGCCCTGCCTGGGCTCACTTCTTTCCTATAACTTTTCTGGGGAAACAGAGCAGAGCACCGCCTAAGCTCTCTCCTGTTACGTCTACCCTAAGTTCTTCCTTTGTTTCAATGTCCCAGCCATTACAAACATACTCTCAAAGTCACCCAGACTCGTGTTATAGTCTTTTCTACATGGAATCAAGAACCCGCACACTACAGCCTGGCCTTAGACCGACCCACCTTGAGCTGTTTCCTGTCCAGTAACAAAACCCAAAAGTTTGTCAACAGCGTCTGTTGAAAATAAATATTAAAGAAAAACAAGGCAGTCTCTTACATTGACAACATTAGGTTATATTAAATTTGTACAACTCCTCTAAAAGGCAATTTGGAAATATCTACCCAAATTACAAAGGCATATGCCCTCTGACATAGCAAGTATACTTCTGAGAATATATTCTACAGGCATAATCCCACATGTATAAAATAATATGTGTTTGGGGTGTGTGTGAGAGGCAACCAACAGAGGTATCTCTCTCACATCGATGTTTCTCTTTCTCCCTTCCCCTCTCTCTAAAAATAAATAAATAAAATATTAAATATATATATTTATGAAAGGTTACTTTTTGTGGTAGTCTGTAGTAGTAGACAATTGAAAACAACCAAATGCCAACCAATAGCGTACTGGCTATATAAACTGTAGTACATAATACATCCTTACTAAGGAAAATAACATAACATTAAAAAATAATGAGAAAATTCCCTATGTACTGGCATGAAACCATCTCTAAGAAATGAAGTTAAGTGAAAAATGTAAGAGATATGTTTAGTATGCTTTCATGCAAAAATGAAGAGAAAATTAAAAGTGTACTTATATTTACGTTTTATAGACCCTGAACGATTCACAAGCAATTAATGATAGAGGGTGATGGGGGTAAACCAGGCAAATGAAAGTCAGTAATAGGAGGGAGGCTTTCGCTTTATGAAAACATTGATTTATATTATATAATAATACATATTTTACATATGAGAAAAGAGTTTTGGAAAAGGGAGTAACTTGCTCATGATAGAATACCTAGGAAGTAATGGGGCCAAAATTTGTATTAAAAAACAGAAACTGAGTTAAATAATGTGGCAAATAATTATATATAATTCTTACGACTCTGAAATGTAATGTATTAGATTAACAGGACTATTCTGAGTAGTGATTTACTTTACCTTACAGTAAAATGTACAACCCTCTTCTTCATACAATCTTGCTTTTTATACAGGTGTTTCATTCCATCTCGTTTTATCAATGGTTTTTTTGAAGGAAGAACATAGGCATTAGTGGAAGGGAAGAAGAGTTTGGAAAGTGCATTCGCAATTCTCCATCCTATGTATTTCGAGAAAACTTCATCCCCTGCATTTGATGAAACTTTTGTACTATAACTAGTGAAAGGATCCATGGGGTCATTTAACTCAGCCTGTTGAAAGAAAGAAAAAGGAACCAGTTAAGATAGAATTAAATGAGAGGGGAAATAATGTATTATTAAGTAAAAGATAAAATGTATGTTTGCTTTCTTTAATGTTGTAGTCTTTCTGTTTAACATAAAAAATGTAGTTCCCCCCAAATTTTTAAATCATAACAAAATTTTTCTAATTTAGTGGTATAATTTTTAAATTTGTATATTTTCCATGCAAGAATTGTGTAACAATTTATAGCATTTATTCAATAAAAAAATTAAGCAAGCAGTTGAGATAATGTAGGTGTTTCATTAAATGAAGTTTTCTCTCTGTATAATCTAAACTTTCCTTGAAGTCAACAGCAAATTTCTATAGAACAAAATTTACAATTAAGTAAAAAAACAGAAAGGGCTTGTATTTCGCTTACATTGAAGATGTTCTAATATTAAATTTAGATTTATATTATATTGAACATATTCTAATAAAAAAAAACTAACAAAAATTCCAAAATATTTATGCAGTCTTTACTCAGGGAAGAACTATTTTCTGTATTTTCCTATTTATGTTCAATAACGTTCATGATAGACTTTCAATTATACCTTCTTTTGAAATGTCTAGAGGCATATGTTCTTTGGCTGGAATTGGTTATCATCAATGGAAATAGAAATTTCAAAATATCACATACTATACTTTTTTATAGTGTTCACAATAGGTTTTTATTAGGAATTTTTTCTCAAAAATAAATTGTATGCTTCCTCCTTTCATTTAAGTTTTTACATTTTTTTATTCAATGTTACCAATCTTCATGCAGTTTATTTCTAGTCATTCAGGGTTCATTTCATATGCCTATTGATCTTATAGTAGAAATGAAGGAGTGGAAAATGTTTTTCTGTATATGAACCTCTTTAGGACTCCAAGATCAGACTTGGCTCAATGAAATACTGTTTAAAGATTGACTATTACATTATGTAGATAAAATTATAGTGGAAAAATGAGAACAATCTCCCATCCAAATACTAACCAGGCCCGATCCTGCTTAGCTTCCGAGATCAGATGAGATCAGGCGCGTTCAGGGTGGTATGGCCATAGACTAGAACAATCTCATAATAAAGATTGAAAAAATAAAGCTTAGAGCAATGAGGAAAATAGTAAAATGCAGTGTAGGTAAATATGAATTACTGTAAAAGCCACAGAAGATAGGAAATAATATGTGAAAATATCTATTAAAAGTGAGGTAAAAAAAATCATGCAAATAGATAAGCACCAAAAATGTGAAATGAAGACTCATGAAAGCCTCAAAAGGCTAGAAAACTAATGGAGAAATTTATAAAGATAACCCTATTTTTCCTGTTTCAGAAAATTAATTAGTGGCCCTCACTGAAATACATGTATTCTAAAATATCTTTGATTTTAATGATCTCTAGATATGGGAATGAGTATACACTCATGTTTATATTATTTCCAGTTGTCTATCTTTCTTATTAACTAGGTCAAAATCATGAAAAAAAGCAGTCACTTTGAAACAACAAATTAAACTGTGTTCAGGACACTTAGTAGCTCTTATGACTTTGAAGACATTATTTAACATTTCAAAGTCTGCAAGTTCATCTAGAAGATGGTAAACATAATACATATCTGGGTTGTTTATTCTGTTTAGCTTCTGTGGCTTAATGATATATAAGAAAAAGTACTTCGAAATCAATAGCAATATATAGTAGTGCGAAACATGTTACTATGACTCTTCCATTACCAAGAGAGTGATAAATGAAGAAATTTGTGAAAAATTGAATGGACCAGCAAATATTAATGTCTTCTGATGACAATTTCTGATAAAATATATTGTTTCCAGGGAAGCAGTACTCTGCATTATAAAATCCTGACACTATTTTCTTTATGTCTCATCTGACTCTTCCTTGTTTTCTTTCGTCCCAGACTGGATAGGCTGTAGATCCAAATGCCAGGTCTGTCAAGAAGCATCATGACAGCATTCCCATCTTTCATGATTATTCCCTGGTTGAAAGCCCAGGTAATAATCTCTCCTCCATTGATGTCCAAGGTATTCAACTGAGGGAAATGTAATTTCAAATATCGGTCAAATACATCATTGCCTGATTTATAAAAAGGTTTTGTTTGTTTTCCTACAGAAAGTAGCTAGGAAATAATATGGGTTTTGTAGTTAGAAAGACCTGAAATCAGGTCTGGTTTTCCCACTTACTAGTTAAGAATGTAAATTTGGGAAATTTAATTAACCATTCCAGGCTTATGTTTGGTACTTAGTTTCGTTACATCTTCTTTTTAATTGTGATATGGAGACAATAATAACCACCTTTAAGAGTTCTGTGAGGGTTAACTTAGAACACAGGGTAGTGTGTCTAACAGACAGCGAGAAGCTCATCAGGCGAAGTTCCCTTCAGGGCTTCCCTGAGACAAGCACTAATGCTCCAGCCTCTGCATCTCCTTCCACCACCAACCCAGAGAAGACTTGATCCAACCTCTGCCACCCTGAAAAAAAGTTTGTCATGTTGTCACTTTTATGTCAGAATATGAATCAGATAGGATCATGATTACACTTACATATTCATCTTTTTTTAATAGCCGTCTTTTTTCCTTTAAAGTCATTATTCTAATGTTATAAAATTCAGTGACATAAATGCCACCTCTGCATAAATATAATTCTATATTTCTTGGAATTGAAAATAAACAAAATATAAGTGACCATTCTTTATAACAGATTCCAAATTCATGAATTTCCTACTAATTAGCCTGCCAATGAACATTAATAACCTCAAACTCCATTTTTAAGTGTTGTTCATATACTTACAGTTTCAACACAGGTCCCTATTTTTCAGCAATGTCTTTAAAGTTCAAGGGTTTCCTTATTGCATTGTTGCAACCTGACATTTTATTAAAAACAAATGGTAATTTTTAATATCTATGCTAATTTTACTGATTTAATATTAAAATTGCAAAAGTAGTGTTCTTTTTTAAAATGGTTTTTTTTGTCTACAATAATTTATTTCCCTATACCCTCTCCTACCTCCACCCACACCCACCCCACTCGATTACCACACTGTTGGCCATGCCCATGAGTTCTTTCTCTTTTTTTTTCCTTTTTTGCTCAATCCCTCTCCACCCAAGAGCTGTCAACCTGCTCTCTATCTGTGAGTCTGTCATTAATTTGTTTGTTGGTTCAGTTTGTTCATTAGATTCCACCTATAAGGTAAGTAATATGGTACTTGTATTTCTCTGACACACTTATTTCACTTAGGATAATGTTCTCCAGGTCCATCAAAGCCTTGGCAAAGAGTAAAATTTTCTTCTTTTTCATAGCTGAGTAGTATTCCATTGTGTAAATCTACCATAATTGTTTTATCCAGTCATCTACTGATCAACACTTGGGCTTCTTCCAAATCTTGGTTATTGTAAATAATGCTCCAATGAACATAGGAATGCATATATTTTTTGAAATTATTGTTTTGGGTTTCTTCAGATAAATTTCCAATAGTGAAATTCCTGGGTCAAAAGGCAGTTCCATTTCTAATTTTTTGAGGTATCTCCATACTGCTTTCCACAGTGCTTGCATTAGTCTGTGTTCCCACCAGCAGTGCAAAAGGGTTCCCCTTTCTCCATATCTTTGTTATTTGTTGATTTGTTGATGATAGCCCTTCTGACAGGTGTGAGGGAATATCTCTCTATGGTTTTAATTTGCATTTCTCTGACGATTAGTGATGCTGAGCACCTTTTCATATGTCTATTGACCATCTATATGTCTTCTTTGTAGAAATGTCTATTCAGGTCTTTTGCCCATTTTTAATTTGATTTTTTGTTTTAGCATTGAGTTTTAAATTCTTTATAAATTTTGGATATTAACCCTTTTTTAGATGTTTTGGCAAATATATTCTCCCATTCAGTGGGTTGTCTTTTCATTTTGTTAATGGTTACCTTTGCTGTGAAAAACCTTATTTTAGTTTTATGCAGATTCATTTATTTATTTTTTCTTTTGTTTCCCTTGCTGAGAAGATATATCAAAAAAAATATTGCTACAAGCAATATCTGAGATTTTACTGCTTATGTTTTCTTTCAGGATATTTATGGTTTTGAGTTTAACTTTTAAGTTTTTAATCCATTTTGAGTTTACTCTTGTGTGTGGCATAAGAAGGTGGTCTAGTTTTATTTTTTGCAAGTATCCGTCCAACTTTCTCAACACCATTTATTGAATAGACTATCTTTAGCCCATTGTATGTTTTTGTCTCCTTCTTCAAATATTAATTGATTATAAAGGTGTAGTTTTATTTCTGGGCCTCTCTATTCTGTTCCATTGACTTGTATGTCTATTTTTATGCGAGTATCATGCTGTTTTTAATTACTCTGGCTTTGTAGTATATTTTGATATTAGGTAGCATGATTCCTCCAACTTTAGACTTCTTTTTCAATATTGCTATTGCTGTTTGAGGTCTTTTGTGATTCCATACAAATTTTTGGAATATTTGTTCTAGTTCTGTGAAATATAACATGGCTATCTTAATAGAAATTGTATTGAATCTGTAGATTGTTTGGGTAGTATGGACATTTCAATGATGCCAATTCTTCCTATTTATGAACACAGTATATGCTTCCACTTAATTGTATCTATAGTGTCTCATAATTTTCCAAGTACAAATCTTTTAGATTCTTGGTTAAATTTACCCCTAGGTATTTTTTATTAAGCAATTGTGAATGGGATTGTTTTCTTACTTTTCCTTTCCAATAGTTTATTATTAGCATATAAAAATGTAATTGATTTCTGAATATTAATTTTGTATCATGCTACTTTACTGAATTCATTCTTTAATTATAATAGTATTTTGGTAATATATTTAGGGGTCACTATATACAGAATCATGTCATCTGCAAGTAATGACAGTTTTACTTCTCCGTTTCCAATTTGGATGCCTTTTATTTCTTGTTCTTGTCTTATTGTTGTGGATAGGTCATCCAGAATAATGTTGAATAAGAATGATGAAAGTGGACATCCCTCTGT